CTTCCTCTTCTTTTTTTTTTTTTTCTTAACATATATTGCATTCTTTGTTTCAGAGGTACAGATCTGAGGTTCAACAGTCTTGCACAATTCACAGCGCTTACCAGAGCACATACCCTCCCCAGTGTCTATCACCCAGGCACCACATCCCTCCCACACCACCCCGCACTCTGGCAACCCTCAGTTTGTTTCCTGAGATTAAGAATTCCTCATAGCGGTGAGGTCATATGATACACATCTTTCTCTGTTTGACTTATTTCGCTCAGCATAATATCCTCCAGTTCCATCCACGTCGTTGCAAATGGCAAGATCTTATTCCTTTTGATGGCTGCATAATATTCCTTTGTGTATATATACCGCATCTTCTTTATCCATTCATCTGTCGATGGACATCTTGGCTCTTTCCACAGTTTGAGCCTCCATTTTCTACTGCATCTCAGTAATAACATTTGTAATTTCAGCCTGATTAGATTTTCATTCTTTTATTCCTACAGTAAGAGATTCTCTACCGCCTTTGTTTTTTTCAAGTCTAGTTAGTATCTTTATAATCATTGTTTTGAATTCTAGTTCTGACCTCCTCCTTATATCCATATTGATTAAATCCTTGGCAGTGAGTACTGCCTCCTGTTTTTTTCTTTTTGGAGGAGCTTCTCTGGCTCATCATTATGTCCAGAAAAGAATAGATGATAGACAGAGAAAAGACAAAAAGAACAACAACAACAACAGAAAAATACAGACAAAACAAACTAGAAGAAAATGGAAACAAAACAAAATAAGAAAAAAAAAATCAAACAAAGAGTAAAACAGAACAAAACAATAAACTAGACCCTGGGTATATTTTGGCTTGTTTCTTAAAAGAACCCAGATCCTGGGACATCTGAGTGGCTCAGTAGGTTAAGTGTCTGCCTTCAGCTCAGGTCATGATGCCCGGGTATTGGCATTGAGTCCCGCCTTGGGCTCCCGGTACAGCATGAAACCTGCTACTCCCTCTGCCTGCTTGTGCTCTCTCTCTCTGACAAATAAATAAAATATATATATTTTTTAAATAAAAGCTTTAAAAAAAAGAACCTAGATCCCAAAATAGTAAAGAAAAAAAATATATATATCATAAACATACAAAGTTAAAATAAAATACAATGCAAGGAAACAAAAGAGAATACATATATGTTATATATATAACGTATATATAAAATAAAAACTAAAGAAGAATTTTATTTTATTATTTTATTTTATTACGTTATGTTAGCCACCACACAGTACTTCATTAGTTCTTCATGTAATGCTCGATGACTCTTCATTTGCTCACCACACCCAGTGCTCCATGCAATACGAGCCCTCCTTAACAGCCATCACTGGGCTAACCCGTAAGAAACTCTTTACGATAGAGAACAGACTGAGGTTTGATGGAGGGAGGTCGGTGGGGGATGGGCTAGATGGGTGGTGGGCATTAAGGAGGGCACATGTCATGTTGAGCACTGGGGGTTAAATATAAGTGTTGAATCACTAAAATCTACTCCTGAAAACAATGTTACACCATGTGTTAACTAACTAGAACTTAAATAAAAATTGGGAGAAAAGGATGCCTCATGAGTTAAGAGGACACTTGTTGGGCAGGGGGGATAGAAATAGGGGAGCATGAGGGTCTCTCAAAGCCCCTCCTACAGCCCTGGAAGCCTGCAGGTCCTTCTCCTTTACCCCTGGGACTCTGGAGAGCCTCTATCATGCAGAAACTCAAATAAAGGTTCCTGTCTTGTTTGCTAGTGTTCCTGGCTGGGGTGCCGTACAGCTGCTGGCCTCCAGGAAGAAGGTAGCCTCCTGTGTCAGTGGTGCCCACTGAGGTTTTGTTTTTTCTGTTTTCAGTTTTATTGAGATAGTTGACATAAAGCACTGTATAAATTGGCGCCTGGGTGGCTCAGTTGGTTAAACGACTGCCTTCGGCTCAGGTCATGATCCTGGAGTCCCGGGATCGAGTCCCACATCGGGCTCCCTGCTCGGCAGGGAGTCTGCTTCTCCCTCTGACCCTCCTCCCTCTCATGCTCTCTGTCTCTCATTCTCTCTCTCTCTCAAATAAATAAATAAAATCTTTAAAAAAAAAAAAAAGCACTGTATAAATTAACACTGCCGTGTAGTATACTTGAGTGGCGCTAAGAGAATAAATCCTAAGACTTCTCATGACAAGGAAATACATAATTTTTTGGTGGGGATGTTAACTGAACTTAATGTGGTAATCATTACACAATACATGTGTGACCAGTAATTATGCTGTACACCTTAAACTTACACAGTACCAACTATACATTTCTTGAGCTACTGGAGCATCCAAGAGTCATACAGAGGTCTTTTTCGCTGTCCCCCTGCCCCAGAAACAACTTGCATCTCCTATTACTAGCATTCATCTCCACTATCTGAGTGCTCAAAAACACGAGGAGGGGTACAAGATCTTCCCGTTTATTCCTTCAGCAACTATGCACCAAGCACTCATGCTTTGCTAAGGAGCGCTGGTGGGCAGTGGTCCCTGCCTGCCAGGAGTTCACAGTCTCGGGGGGAGATAGACAAAAGCACCAAAACGTAGATGTGAAAAAAGAAAGAGCAAGTGTTGTGGTGAAAACAAAGTGGGATGCTGTGAGGGAGGACTGTGCAGGGTCTGAAAGGCCTCACTGGGGTGACATTGCCGATACCCAAATGACAAGAGGAAGCCGCTCTGCACAAGTCTTGGCGCCGTGTGTCAGGGAGAAGGCACCACTGAGACAGAGACTCACAGGCAAAAGTGGGTTTGATCAGAAAAGGTTAGAAAAGTGGCCAGTGTGGCTGGAGGGAGCCTTGGAGGAGAGAGGGGGTGGGCAATGTGGGCAGGGCCAGATTCTGGGGCCTCGTGGACTGTGTTAGTTACCATTTCCTCTCTGACTACCTTGCCCCAATACCTTGCATTTTAAAGCTACAAATATTTAATATCTCACCATTTGTGTGGACCAGCTGTCCAGGCATGACACCCCCTGTGTCTCTGCCTCAGGATGTATCACAAGGTTGGGGCTGTAGCCTCATCTAAGGCTGGACTGTGGAGGATTTGCTCCCAAGTTCACTCACAGAACTCACAATGCAGTTTCAACAGAGAGACTGAGTTCTTTCCCATCTGTCAGCTTGGGCACTCCCTTGTTTCTCTTCTATGTGAGCCTCTAACGGGGCAGCTCAAAGCATCAGGGCCTGATTGCCTGGGGATATGACAAAGAGAGCAAGTCAGAGAGAGAGGGAGAGAGAGAGCGCGTGCCAGAGAGAGGAAACACAAGCGATGGAGTGAGAGGAAAGAGAGTGTTTTTGGCATTTTGTCTCAAATTTAGACATCCCATCACGTTGGCCATATTCTGTTGGTCAAAGCCCAGTTTCTAAATGCTTAGTGGTTACACCGGGATGTGTATACCAGGGGTGGGGATCACTGAAAGCCATTGTGGAGGCAGTCCACCCCATAAGCTGTGATGACGATCATGGGTCTTATCCTTTTTTTTTTTTTTTTTTAACATTTTTTATTTATTTTACGGAGAGAGACACAGCGAGAGAGGGAACACAAGCAGGGGGAGTGGGAGAGGGAGAAGCAGGCTTCCCGCGGGGCAGGGAGCCCGATGCGGGGCTCGATCCCAGGACCCTGGGATCATGACCTGAGCCGAAGGCAGACGCTTAACGACTGAGCCACCCAGGCGCCCCGGGTCTTATTCTAAATATAACAGGAGACAATGGAACAATTTTACGCCAGAGGATAACAATATCTGAATTTACATTAATTTCATCTCCCCCCCCCCCCCCCGCCCGTGGCTCTGACCTGAAAATGAGGCAAAGTTGGAAGTGACTTTTTCAATACTATACTGCTGGAACCCAGGTCTGCTTTGAGTGGTGTTCCAACCCCTTCTTGTAATTCTTCAATCACTAAATTGTGTCATAGATACATATGACACCATCCCCCAGGTGTAAGAGATATTATCTCAGATACAACTGTTGAGGTCCCTAGGAAGTAGGTTCTAGCCTCATCCCCTTTGTGAAGGTTTGGAGACTGGGGAAGACCTGAGAGGCACAGTGATTTTCCCAGGGCAAAGAATAGGTAAGAAAAAGGAGGCCCAGATTCAGCTCTGTCTTCTCAAAGCTAGGATCTTCATTACATTTTCAGGGATGTGTGAAGAGGGATGTTTTGACTAATTTTGTGTGGTTAAGCAGTTGGCATGGGGGAAGAGGAGGAGCAGTGAACAGCCCATAGGGCACTTTGGATAAGTCTGATTGAAAGGAGGGGCCCGGGTAACAGAATCTTCAAAAAGTGACCTCACTTCTTTGTGGTCATAGACCTCAACAGAACTTAGAACTGTGGTAACCAAGGACCTACATTCTAGAGATAGCCCCTATCCAGCTCACTTGACTGGAGACAGTCAGGAGAGCAAGATGTTTCAATGTTGTTTCTCTGGTAGCAGAAGATCTGGGCTCAAGAAAGCTCAGAGTGAGAATCTTTTTAGTCGCTGTAGACACTGGCTCAGCCATCAGTCCCGACGCATCCGGTCATTTTGGAGAAGGCACCGAAAGGTAACACAAAGGAGCCCAAGGCAGGCCAATTCAGGCTGGGACAAAATTGTGATTCCACCTGAGCAGCGCCGCACCTCTCGTCCCTCATCGTGTGTGTGTGTCTTTGTGTGTGTGTGTCTGTGTGTCTGTGTTGGGGACAGAGGAGGCAGGACTCAGGGTTGAGTCCTTCCTGGGCAGAAGCTGATTGTTAGGTGTTGGAAGCCTGGTGGGTCTTTCGTGTTTATACCTCGGTCACGGCTGGTGCATGAGAAGGTGAGTTCTTCTACCCATGTTAATCCTGAGCGCTACAGGTTTTATCTTGTTTCCTCTCTGGGTAGAGTTCTTTGCAGATGCCCTACTCTGCCCCAAGGGTGGAACAGATTTTCTCTTGAGAGTATCCCCCAGTGGCAATGTCCAGACGTGTCCTTTATTCCTCCTGGCCAAGCTATTAGGCACTGTCTTTGCAGAACTCAAACCAGGAGATCATCGAGGAGCTGGCTGATGGGTTCAACTACTCCATCTCCCTAGACAAGGGGCAGATGCACCGGGACACCAAGAAGGGCCGACATTGGTCTTGGGTAAGTGTAGGCACAGAGGAGGTTACAGGTTACCACAGCCGGGACTGGGGTGGGCCCAGAACCCGGACTCATATCTGGCAACTACCCGAGACCATTCCAGGAATGTGGCTACTCCATATCCTTCCTGTCGCTGTCAGGAGCTGACCAAGCCTCAGGTAATTTAGTGGGAATGTCATGCAGCCTATCTTTAAATGGTTCTCCGTTCTGATGTGCATGATCTTGAGCAACCATATGAAATCCCTAATCCTCTCTTTCCCAGTATCTACAGTGGGCAAGTTTGTTGATGACTCACTGGGATAATCCTCTTAATATGGGATGTTAATACAGAGAGGTGCTATGGTTTTCAGCTAACAAAATGCCTTGGAGGTATCAATTATTTATCATTCCCCCAAATAAAAATGTACTTTTATTTATTTATTTTATTTAAAAACTTTCCTTTTTTAATTTAAATTGTATTTAGTTAACATACAGTGCAATATTGGTTTCTGGAGTGGAATTCGGTGGTTCATCACTTCCATACAACACCCAGTGCTCATCACAACAAGTGCCCTCCTTAATATCCATCACCCATCTAGCCCATGCCCCCCACCCACCTCCCTCCATCAACCCTCAGTTTGTTCTCTATCGTTAAGAGTCTTTTATGGTTTGTTTCCCTCTCTCCTTTCACCCCCCCTTCCCATATGTTCACCTGTTTTCTTTCTGAAATTCCACATATGAGTGAGATCATATGCAAAATGCACTTTTAAAGCCTAGAACATTTTATGGTATAGGCACTCAGGTCCCTCTTCTTGCACTAGTTCATGAGGTGGTGGGACTTTCCAGCCTGAGCTCCAGACCCTGATGTTCCTGGTGGCTCATGGTGATGCTGCTGATTATATGTTCCTCTTGTCCACCAAGTGTGAAAAGGAGTCCACACTGTGCCTGGATGAGGCCTGCACAATGCGGACGCTCCAGGAAGGCACAATTCAAATGTTAGAGTCCCTGGTACCAGCATACCCAAGTGAAAACATCTCCTACATCACCACATTCCTGGACCCCTACCAGGCCTTCACCAGCTCCCAACAGATCCTGGGCCATTTTTTTAAAAGGTGAGTGCCTGCTCCCTCCATAGCATTATGGTGAGTCTCCTGCCTACTAACTGTGTGTCTGGGGAATGTCAACATACCTCTCTGCACTGCACTTTGCTCTTCTGAGAAGTAGGGTGGGAAAAGAATAAACATGACAGAGTTATTGTAGGCAATCATGGGATAATAAGCCCATGGTAGGTGCTTACCTGGTACGTTGCTCTGCAGATAGGACTGCTGGACATGCTGGGCATCTTCATGTTTGTTATTTCTCTGTCCCTAGTGGAAGAGTTCTCTGCCTTGCCCTTCCCTGGCCTGTGGTTTCTGTGAGCTTGGAAAGCACATGGAAAGCAACCCAGTTTCCCAACTGCAAAGAAATTTTGAGATTCCATCCAGCTATTCCTGGTCCTTGTCTTTGGTGTAGCCAGATGAGGTCTCTCTGAGGGCAGGAAGAGGAGCTCCAGTCCCACTCAGATGTGTGGGAAGGTTCTGGTTGAGATTCATGCATTCAACAATACATATTAAACACATGCAGACATTTTGTAGACACTAAGATAATGCAACGGCTGAAGCAGACTCAATCCTTGGGCCTCAATTCTAGTCTGAGAATCAGAGAGTCACACTAGATGTCATAAGCCGTTGTGTTCCCAGTACATTAGATGTGATGCCATCATGACCTCCTGTAGATACAGACGCTCCTTCCCATGTTCAGACGTGGAGGAAGGAACAGAAGAACCACTGAAAAGGTGAGTAGTCCTTGGGCCTAGAAGCAGAATGGGATAGTAAGGGAGTCCCTGGGGAGGGACTGGTAGTACCCTCATCTCACACATGTTTGATTCCCATGGAGGGCTGAGGTCTGAGGGCTTCCACCGCCTGAGAAAATGAGTCAGAGAGCTGTGGATGGGGTCCTAAGGCCTTGGGAGGCAGAGGGGAGGCTAAGCTGAGTCAGACCCTGAGCGATTCATCGTTTCCAGTCCGATCTTCTGCTCCCTGCCCTGTCCATATCCATCTCTCTTGACCACTACCCCTGGGGCCCAGAATAATCGGTGTGGTAAGCAGCCTGCTCACAAATATGCCATAAACCTCAGTCCTAATGCTCATGTGCATGGAAGATGGGGTAGGCCATGCCCAGGCCCTTTGGGAGACAAGTGTCAGTGGAAGGATGGGCCTCACAAGGCTCTCTTTAGATGTGCCCCTGACCATGCCTTCCATTGCAAAACATGGCCACAGAGTGTTTGGGGGTGAGGTGGGGCCATCCTTTGGTGCCCGGACACAAGGAGGGGGATGTGGAAGCATGGTGTGGAAAAAAAGGACGGGCCTCTGACTCTGTTCCACACATGACTTCCCCCAGGGCCCTCTCGCCCATGCTGCACAGCTGGGCAGATCAATACTTACAGGAGGACTGGCAGACCCTGCACCATCCTTGGTTAAAACTGATGGTGGCATACATACACGCCAGCTTGCCTGGCTTAGACCTGAAGTGCTGTGACCCACTGTCCATGGTCCATTTGGAACATCTAGGGCCCACTGAGGCAGAAAAAGAGGGTAAGGGGGACTTCAGTCTGGGAAAATATCTAGGGTGGGCTTCATGTGCTGGGTATTCCCTTAAAGGCAGTAGGATCCTTCCTGTTTTTGGAAAGACACATGGAAACTCCGTTACATTGTGGAACTCTTCTCTTTATCCTCTTCAGTGCCAGCTCCAGAGCCCCAGCCTGCTGCAAAGTCAGAACAAAGGCCAACTCTGGATTTAGAGCGTGTTCCAGCTCCATTTTTACTACCGCCTTTAGTGATGGAGCCACCATCAACGGCTCCAGTATTGGAGCAAGAGCAAACATCAGCTCTGGCACAAATGCCAAGCCCTGAGCCGGAGTCAGCTGGATGTTCAGCTATATTCAGAATTTGCTTTCCACCTCTGAAAGTAGATACAGAGCCAGCTCCAGCCTCAGAGGCCTCATGCCCCTGGCATGTGACCAGTGAGAACAGTCCAGCTGAGGAGAAGCGTGAGCTCATGGCCTTCCCTCCCCAGCTGGTGGCAGAACAATTAACAATAGTAGATGCGGTGAGCAGCTGGTTTCTTGTCGGGGGGTGGGGGAAGGGATTCCCTCTGCCATCAGTTGCCCCAGACCTGCCTTTTCCTGATCTGGACTCTTATGACGTGGGTCCAAATCCCAGTCCCACCACTTGCCATTTGTGTGACTTGGGTAACTTTCTTAGCCTCTGAGCCTTTGCTATCCACCATAGTCAGTAGAGATGGACACCAATAGCACCTGCTGCAAAGATATTGACTGTGCAGATTAAATGAGGTAGAACAGATAGAAAGCTGGGTAGGGCCCAGCCCAGTTGGTGGGGAAGGAACACTCACTGTGTGCAGCCAGGTCCATGGGTTGGCACCCATCTGCCCAGGAGGCCCAGCAGCCTCAGCACTTATTAGGCACCTGATGTGTACTTAATTCGAAGGAGGACAAACAAGGCCATGGTTGTAGCTGTCACAGGAGAATACGCATCTCAGTAGAAAGAGCAGAGGGTGATCAGGATGGGTGAAAGATGCCCTCTTGGGAAGAACCAACTTGAGCCACCTTCTGGAATCTTAGAGTTAGTGAGGATGGACTGGAGGCAAATGAATCCTTCCTTCCCCACCAGTATTGGGTCCTGAGTCATCCCATGCTGTATGCCCTCAGTAGACAGAGAACAAATCCTGGGGACCTCCACAAGGCTCAGACATTTCCTCAGCTTCCTGAGCTCCAGGTCTGACCAGTGACTCCTGCCTGGGCCTGTGGGGGACTGTGGACACTGAGCTGGGCTGTGGCAGTGCCAGGTGACACTCTCCTTGGTCCCCAGGAGCTATTCAAGAAGGTGGTGCCCAGTCATTGCCTGGGCTCCACCTGGTCCAAGAGGAACAAGCCTGGCAATGAGCACCTGGCACCCACAGTCCGTGCCACCATCACGCATTTCCAAAGTGTGACCAGCTGTGTCCTCACCACCTGCCTTGGGGACCCGAGCATGACTGCCCAGCACAGGGCCAGGGTAGTGGAGCACTGGATCCATGTGGCCCAGGTATGCTGGGGGAGTTCCAGTGGAGTCCCACTCTGGATCCTGGGGAACTGCCTCTTCACCTTCTCAGTTCTATGGTCTGAGCCCCTCCAGAGTCCGTAGGCCTTTCTTGCCAGAGGCACACTGACTTTGACTCACATGTCCTGGTGGTGGCCTTCCTACTTGGCTTCTTCTTTGAATTAAACAAAATCCTCCTCCCTGAAAGGGGAACCCTCCTACACTGTTGGTGGGAATGCAAGTTGGTGCAACCACTCTGGAAAAAACAGTAAGGAGGTTCCTCAAAAAGTTGAAAACAGAGCTACCATACGATCCAGCAATTGCACTACTGGGCATTTACCCCAAAGGTACAAATGTAGGGATCCGAAGGGGTACTTGCACCCCGATGTTTATGGCAGCAATGTCCATAATAGCCAAACTGTGGAAAGAGCCAAGATGTCCATCGACCAATGAATGGATAAAGAAGATGTGGTATATATATACAATGGGATATTATGCAGCCATCAAAAGGAATGAGATCTTGCCATTTGCAACGACGTGGAGGGAACTGGAGAGTGTTACGCTGAGCGAAATAAGTCAATCAGAGAAAGACATGTGTCATATGACCTCACTGATATGAGGAATTCTTAATCTCAGGAAACAAACTGAGGGTTGCTGGAGTGGGGGGTGGGGTGGGAGAGATGGGGTGGCTGGGTGATAGACATTGGGGAGGGTATGTGCTATGGTGAGCGCTGTGAATTGTGCAAGGCTGTTGAATCACAGATCTGTACCTCTGAAACAAATAATGCAATGTATGTTAAGAAAAAGAAGAAGAAGAAGAAGACAATAGTAGGAGGGGAAGAATGAAGGGGGGGGGACATCGGAGGGGGAGACGAACCATGAGAGATGATGGACTCTGAAAAACAAACTGAGGGTTCTAGAGGGGAGGGGGCTGGGAGGATGGGTTAGCCCGGTGATGGGTATTAAAGAGGCCACGTTCTGCATGGAGCCCTGGGTGTTATGCCCAAACAATGAATTATGGAACAGTACATCAAAAACTAATGATGTGATGTATGGTGATTAACATAACAATAAACAGTCCCCCCCCCCCCCCCGCCAAAAAAAATCCTCCTCCCTGTGAGTGTTACTCTTCTGGCCCTAAATGTGCACTTCCAGGGCTCCATCTCATCTGGGAGGGGAGGAGAGGGGAGTTTTAAACTGAGGGGGTTGAAGCTAGAGCAAATAGGGCTCTAGCTCCCCACCTCACAGCTCATCCTCTTTCCTCCCCAGGAGTGCCAAATTCTGAAGAACTACTCCTCTTTGCATGCCATCCTCTCTGCTCTGCAGAACGCCTCAATTTGCCGTCTGAAGAAGACATGGCGGAAGGTTTCCAGGTAGATAGGCCTCTCTCCACAGATTGGACCAGGATGGATTAGGGATCTCTCATACGTCTGTCGTTGCTCCATCAGTCAGCTGGGAACTCCTGGGAGGCCGCAAACCCTGAGGACAGAGACTGGGCTGATGTTGGGGTCTTTAGCCTCTCTGGGTCCTCAGTCCACCAGTTCGGCTTCAGGAATCCGTTTCTTTATATGTCAGATACTGGGTTGATTTAAGTTGGAGACTTTCAAGTGTTTACAGCAACTGAACCATATGCCCAGAGAAAACCAAAACTAGGCAACACAGAGAAGCTTAATACAAATGTGAATAGAGGCCTCAGGTGACCACCATGAAAGCCCCCCTCCCCAGTCACAAGGAGACCTTAGTGCACAAAGGAACCCAGCGAAAATACTCACTCAGATGAAGCTTTTGGTTCTGAAATAAAAGGGACTTGCACTCAAATCCCCACGTTATTCCTAAATTTCTCTTTTTTCTTTTGTCTCTTCTCAGGAAGAGCTACAAAAAATTTAAGAAGCTCCAAAGCCAAGACAAGTCACTCAGCAGGGAACTGATGACCAAGGTAGAGTGGAGGCTGGGGGTCTGGAAAGAGAGGAGGACTGAGAGGGAAGGGGGACTGGGCAGGATGTGGTTTTGTTAGTTTCTCACGTAATGATTTAGATGTTCTGGACTAACAGGAAGAGGGACCTGTGTGGCCTATGGGCAAGTGGGGGCGGGGGGTCCAGTTTGAAGTACAGGAGTCTCTGGTCATAGGGTATAGTGGTGTTGGCTGGGCTGTCCAGCTGGCAACGTTAGCCAGTCTCCTGCTTCCGTGAGGGCCCATCCTGCTGGCACTAATGAGGGGATGGGATGGTTAGGGAGTCCTCTCTTTCCGAGACCAGCCCACCGTGCTCTCAGAAAGCCAGGACTGTGCTTTTACTTCTGTTTTTGCAACACCTCCAAGGGGAGGGCATGTCCCGGGGGATTCCCATGGACCAGGTGGACAAAAAGGCTTCCCAGGCTTGGGTCCAAATGGCTGGGCCAGAGACAGATGTGTGTGCCTTCTGTGACTCCACACCGTGCCCCTATGGCAGCCACTGCTATTCACTCACTGGCTAGTCTTCACCTGAGTGTCCAGTTGAGAATGACATATGCCCTCAGTGGCTAATGAGGAGGGCCTGGGGGAAATGGTAGTTTCGCAGTGGGTAGTGGGTCCTTCCTTCATCAGAAGCTTCATGTAAATGGGGAAACAAAGTGTCCTGTCATCCTCTTCTCTGTCAGTCAGAGGTAGCGCTTTCAGGGTTGCCTTCCTGAGTGAATGAAGAAAGACTGCTGAGTTGAGGAATGCCCTGAGGAGTTGTTGCTTGGGGGAGGTGAAATCTTTGGCTTTGCCTTGGTTTTGGTCTGGATGCAGAGACTCCAGATCGGCTAAGGCTGGCAGGAGCTGCTTATCCAGACTTTGAGAACACCCCATCCCTCTCCATCTGTGGCTTGGTCCAGGTAGGGGCCTGGACTTTCCTCAAGAGCCCAGAGGGAAGGATTTGTGGTCAGTGGTGGTCTCAGACTGAGTGAGAGCCGCTGAGGCAGGGTCTCTGGCTAAAAGGGAACAGTGACCTCTCAATGTGTGAGCCCCTGAAAAACTTATTGCCCCTCTCGGGCCTCATCTGGGAAATGGGGAGATGATGATTCTGTGGTGCAGGCCTCAGCAAGTGGTGATGAGGTCCGAGGGAGGAAAGGAATGTGTGGATCTTTCCTGCTCCATCTGGATGTGCGAGGGCAGGAACAGTGATGATAGAAGTATGGCACTGGGTCCTCAGGAGACCCTGTGCGGGGGGTGGAGTTCTCACCCTTTTCAGATGAGGAAGCAGGCCTAGGGAGGCCAGGCCACAGTCCCTGGGCCACACACAGAGTGAGTGTTGGAGCTAGGATTGATCCAGAATCAGAACACACTGGGAAGACAGAAGAGCACTGGTACCAGATGACTCAGGTCAGACGTCCGGTGGCCAAAACCCGTAGTAGTGCTGAAGAGACTTTGAGCGAGGGGAGTGGTGTGGCCTCACTGTCCGCAACCCTGGCAGGAGGCACCCTCCAAGTTTGTCACCCCGGAGATCAACACCCAGAAAACCCAGGAGAGGCAGCAGCAGCAGCAGAAAGTAAGTGTGCCTGTGGGGCAGGGGCTCCAGGGTGAGAGCAGGGGCTCCCCCTCCCAGCAGGAGGCCTCCAAATCAAGAGAGGAAGGCCCTTCTTACTCCAGCCCTGACTCCTCTTGTCGCAGTGCCTGAAATCCTTCCTTAGAAGTGACCAGGAAGATGGTGTGTAAAGCTGGGTGCAGGATGGATTTGGGGGTAGGGAGGGGCCTGGGACCACACACCCTGTGATTGGCCAAAGTCAGGTCCTGGGAAGTGATTAGGAGTCTGGTGGTCTTGGAGGGTGAGGAGAGGGGGAATTGGGAGGAGGCTGCTGAGGGACATAGTCTGCTCCATGTGGGAACCCTGGGGTGGGCCAGGAGGCTGAGGGTGAGGAGTTTTCTGTGAAAGGCTGTGGGGGCTCCTGAGAGCAGGGCCTCATCCCACCCCTACCACAATGGCACAGGGTGTTGTCCCCTACCTTCGAACATTTCTCAGTGAACTGCTGATGATGCACCTGACCATGGAGGATTATCTGGAGGTGGGTGAGCCTGGGGACTAAGCAGGGAACCATGACTGAGGCTTGGGAGCAGAGAGCCCCTGTGCTGAGCCCTGAGCTGTCAGAACTTGGCAAAACTCCTCTCCTGAGAACCTCACAGCCACTCCTGTGAGCTGCTAAATCATGCCCATCTGAAGGGCGAGTGAAGGGAGACTCCGCATAAATAAGACATTGTTCTGGGTTCCCCAGGCTGGTAAAGCAGCAGACATGCCTGACTGCACAGTGCACAGGTTCTGACAGAGCTGGAATCAGCCTTTTCCTCATATGATGCCCCTTGGGAGAGAGCCAAGTCTGGCCCCTCCACGTCAGGAAGCATATAAGTGAGCAGTCCCTTCCTGCCTGAGGCCTCAGCCTCCTTGTATTATCATCAGAAAGGGCCGGGCTATAAGCTTCCTGAGCCTCTGTCCCCATGTGCCCCCTTCTTTGGGCCCAGAACCTGGCTAGAGCCTTGTCCCGTTTTCTGTATGTGCCTGGCCCCCTTGTGGGACCCGGCAGTAGTGCAACATGAGAAGGAGTGGGCATAGAGGGACTAGTAATGGCTATTGGGCTCTTTCCGATGGATTTTGATTGTCTGCCTTCCAGGGGGGAGAGATCAATCTCAGGAAAAGGAATGCGGTGAGCAGCTGTGGCACTTCCTGCGGGAGAGGTTGGGGAGTGGAAATCAGAGACCCCCACCCCCCAACAGATTGCTCCCTGGCTCCATCCCATGTTTTATGTTTGTTGGGCAAGTTTGATAGCAGAGAAGTAGAAGACCCAGCCAACTGACATTTGGGGGTGGGGGGAGAATCAAGGCAAACTTCCTTGAGGACGGGCTACTTCCACCTACCCTTGAGAACAGCTATGGCCTAGATGGAACTGAGGGAAGGAGGGTTCCCGTGTATGCAAAGACCCCGGACCTATCCCCTGTCCCAGTCCTCATCCCCCATGAGGCCTTGTCTGTATCCTGTCCTCCTCTCTGGCCCCAGGAATATGAAATAATGAGGGAGATCCTGCTGCTCCAGGTGGCCGCAGATAATTACAACCTCAACCCCAACGAGCAATTTGGGGCCTGGTTCCGAGACCTGGAGAGGCTCAGTGAGAATGAGAGGTGAGATGAGGCCAGGCAGGAGATGGGGGCGGGCAGTGGTAGACTCTCCCTGGTGGCCAGTCCAGAGAACCTGTGTGCATGGCTCCCTGGACAGCCCGAGACCTTGCTGCACGGTGACCCCTGGTGTACCTGGACTTTAGCTGCTGGTCAGACACTGGGAAGGACACCTTAGCTGTGGCTCCTGACCGGCTCACAGGTGTCACTCTGTCCTGTAGCTACATCCTGTCCTGCCAGCTGGAGCCCCGATCCTAGTCAGCCAGCAGAACTGGGAAGGCCCAGAAGAGCCAGCCATCGTCAAGCTCAGGGGCGAGTGAGTGTCCGGGCTGGCAGTGCCACCTCTCCCTCAGCTGTGGGGACACAGCTGGGATGCTTGGGGGTTCCAGGACCCCTGCTCTGAGGGGAAGGAGACCATTGGGAGGCTCTTCCTGTGGTCCCCTGAAGGCCAGGGGAAGAGACAATGATCCCACCCATCCCCCTGCCTTCTCTTCTCCAAGGCCCATACATAGTCATTTGGAGGGGTGATACTTAGTAAATGCCAGATTTAAATATTATTATATTAAAGTCCTGTTGCTTTGAAAGCCTGAGAGTTCTTATTTGATTCTTTTACTTCCTGCGCTAATTTAAATGATGAACAGATGCTCACGTTCCTTCTTGAATAAAGAAATCTTGCAGCTTACTGTATGTGTGAGAGAGGAGAAAGTCCATGCCACACTCTTACTAGTGAAGCGGCCCCCCATTCCCCTTCCTCAGAGGATATGTTCACTTCAGTGTTGCTCACCTGTGAGGAGCAGTGACAGTCCTCCAACCTCCCAGGGTCTAGAGGTTGAGGCTACTCTTACAGACATAGCAACAATCCCTGAAATTGGGAGTCTAACAATTTGCCAGGACCGCTTCCCGCCCCAGGACAGCGCCTACTTTTGCACACTTCGGAGGAAGAGGAAACATTTGTGGCTTCTCTTGTTGAGGTTTCTTTTGACAAGTTATTAAAAACTTGCAGTTCTCTAGCTCAACATCTGGAATGGCATCAGCACTAAGTAGGGAAAACCATGAAAAGAGACCAAAGGGCGCACATGAAAAGGACAAGGCCAGCAGATGATAATTTGTGACTAGCCTAAGGGCAGGCAGGACTTCCCATCCTCAGTCTCCCTCTAGGGGCTCCCTCCTCCCTCTACCTATATCTGAATCCTCCTGGGATATTTGTCCATGACTCCTGAATTCCTTTTCCTACTTGTCTTATATCTGGGATCAAGATTGTGATGCGTGTTTGGAAGCTACAGCTGGGCCTCCTTCCATAAACATTTATGCTATCTATGAATAAGATTTTCAGCATCCCCGCAGTTCTTATACAATTCTCTTTAAGGCAGAAATTCCCTCCATCGTTGCCACTCCTTCTTGGCTGGGACTTGCTGGATGTGGGATGGTTTCTTAGTTGCCAAAATCAGGTCCATATACATGGCCAGTGAGAATTCCCACATTCTCCCTTACTGGCCAAGATGACTTCTGGGTCCATGTGGTTCTGAAGTCCATGGTCTCAGACAGTCACAAGTGTGTCTACACAGCTGTGTTGTTACTGATCTGTCCTACATTGGTAGCTAGGCCCAAGCCCATGAATGGCTGCATTCTTTGCCATAGTTTAATGCTTTAGTGACGTCAAGGGGGGCAGGGGTGAGCCTTTCCTCTTGGCAAGATGAGGCATGAGAGGGGAGGGTGCAGGGAGTTCCATCACGGGAAATGCCATCAAACTGATGATCTATGGACATGCATGGGCACAGAACTATCAATTTAAATACTGAATTGCGTACAATCTGGGT